ATGGCCACGCCCAGATTGATGCGCCTCGCACCCTGAACGCGTCAACACCTCCGCTTGCTGATGCCACGCTCTTGGCTTCGCCCACAGGACCCTGACTTGCGAGTAGCGTGCGCCTCAGATGCGACCCCACGCGCTGCACCTGCCACGTGAACCTTCACGCAGCAATTGCATTATTCCCTCACTTATGGTGGAGAGGCTTCGGCTTTACGCGCTACTACCTTGGTCACGCCGACTTTGCTTCTCGATATCTTCGGTGGTATCGCCGTGGGTCTATCCTCCACGCGATATGAAATTTAGCGGGCGCTGCTCGTACGCTGCCGCCTGTTGGGCACGCGTGGCTACGTTACGAACCACGTGCAGCTCGTCCAGCGCTTCCATACGGGACCTCCCAACTTTCTTTCCCACGTTCTGAATTGGGGTTCCTGCTTTCCCAGAACACTCTCTCCTTCTCCTCCTCCCTTCCACTACCGCTCCCACTTCTACCACTACCACTACCACTCGCATTACCACTATTATTACTACGACTACCACGACTACTAGCGCTACCACTACTGCTACTAATGCTAACACTATCGCTACCAATTCCAAGACCACTACCACTACTACTACTACTACTACTCCTACTACTACTACTACTACCACCACTACTACTACTACTACTACTACTACTACTACTACTACTACTACTACTACTATTACTACTACTATTATTACTACTACTACTACTGCTACTACTACTACTACCACTACAACTACTACTACTACCACCACCACCACCACCTTCACTACTACTACTACTACTACTACTACTACTACTACTACTACTACTACTACTTCTACTACTACTACTACTACTACTACTACTACTACTACTACTACTACTACTACTACTACTACTACTACTACTACTACTACTACTACTACTACTACTACTACTACTACTACTACTACTACTACTACTACTACTACTACTACTACTACTACTACTACTACTACTACTACTACTACTACTACTACTACTACTACTACTACTACTACTACTACTACTACTACTACTACTACTACTACTACTACTACTACTACTACTACTACTACTACTACTACTACTACTACTACTACTATGACTACTATTATTACTACTACTTCTACTACTACTACTACTACTACTACTACTACTACTACTACTACTACTATTACTACAACTACCACCTTCACTACTACTACTACTACTACTACTACTACTACTACTACTACTACTACTACTACTACTACTACTACTACTACTACTACTACTACTACTACTACTACTAGGGTTGACCGCGCTCTGTTTGCGCCATTCATTCGGGGTAGGGAGGTTGTGGAGGTTCAGTGCGGCGGACGCGCGATCACCACACATATATATATATACACACCCATTATAGCACATTTCGAAACAGATAGTAACATTTAGCAATCATGTACAAATCACACACTGTATGTACACATGTACACGCCATATGTGCAAACATATACAGCACATGTACGAACCATACATAAACCACGTATGTCAACTATACAACATATGTACAATCATATACACAGCTTGTACACCACATATGTAAACCAATGCCTAAAGAACCTTGGGGTTCTTTTGGCCCCCTCCCAGTTCATTTATTTCTAGCGAGAAGACAGTGGGATAGAAAGTGCGGATGCATATGACGAAAGACGGGGAGAGGGAGGAGGAGGAGGGAGGGAGGATGAGGAGGAAGAGGAGGAACAGGATGATGAGGAGGAGTGCGAGGAGGAGGAGGAGGAAGAGGAGGAGGATGAGGAGGAGGGCGAGGAGGAAAACGACGACGCACAAGATGAGGAGGTGGAGGATCAGGAGGAGCAGGGGGATGGAGGAATGAGGCGGGAGGAGGGCGGATGGGTGGGAGAACAAGAAAGAGGAGGAGGAGGAGGAAAAGGAGGAAGGATAGTGGAGGAGCAGGAGGAGGAGGAGGGGGGGGGGAGGAGGAAGGAGATGAGGACGAGGAACAGGAGTCGGAGGAGAAGTCGGAAGAGGAGAAAGAGGAGGAGGAGGAGCAGAACCGTCTGCGCTCAGAACAGATGCTGAGGACGTTTCGAACGACTTGCCTGGATCTCCCCCTGTGATTCTCGTGGGCCACAACAACTTGCAAAAAGACCAGCCCATGGTGCCAACCGGGAACCCAAACCTTATGGATATCTGAACTTTATCCAACCGTTGCGACGAGGAGGTCGGTCTTGGAACAGGGTCAAGCCAGAAAGGAAGGGCCGTGCACGTTTCCCTAAGCTCTCCCCTGTCCGTAGCCCACATGGCTTGTGTGCATTTTTGTATTTTGCGGTGTCAGCTTGCAGACGCTCCAGTGGCCAACTTTTCATTCAACATGAGTGGTTCAGCGGCTAACTTCGGCAACAAAAACGTGTTTCAGCAATTGGTTCTATCGGGCTTGGACCATCCCGAAGAGCGTGGCCAAGATGCTAAAGAAAGCGAAATCAAACTCCGTGAACATACGGTCGAGCATGTGACGACATTGAAATATTGCGGGGCGAAAGACCCAATGTGGGGGGCCTCTGGATTCCGCAACATATTTTTCGTTATGCCACGCGGACGTGATCAACGACGACTGCAAGTACGGAGTCGTATTCTAGGGGTCGCCGCATTGGGGCCTAGCAACCGACGAATCGACACAATGATGGAAATCAAGCATTGTATTCAAGACGAATGCCTTCGAATCAATGAGCTGGCTTTCAGGACGACCGCTGACCATGCTCACGTTCCATGCGTCATGCAAAATAGAATTCTGGAACCCGTGCTACCCGGACCCACAAGGGAGACACCCGCGAACCCAGAATGCTAGTGGCCATGTCACCGTACTTCAGAAAATGCAAGCCTCCTGCCAGCGGAACCGAAAACAACGAACTAGATAGTGGAGACAATACCATGGTCGCTTGCTTGGTGCCAGCAAGGTTTCGCAAAACGCTCACTTACAAAACGACAGGCTCGACGCCGGCAAGACTGTACTTCGGGCAGTGGAACTTATGAATTCAAATGAGTACGCTGTCGAAAACGGTGGCCAAACGTTCAGCCTCTCACGCGAGATCGACCTCGCGAAATTGCAGAGTATATTCGGCAAGCTTTCCTCCGACCCAGCAGCGGCGGCCAGGTGTCAGGCGCGCCGCTAGCAGCCGCATTTGTAATACTTTGGTGGTTCTTATGTCTCCAGACGGCGACGCGCTATGATTACAAGTTGGCTGCTGGCCATCGTGCCACTTTTCTTTTCCCATACCTTCGTTCTTGCCCTAGGTCCTAAGCTGTCTGCTTGCCAGACCTCCCAAAGTAGCTGCTGGCTACCGCGCTCTTCGCGCCCCAGCAATGGAAAAATATCGTTGCCCTAATGTGTTCGCAATTGGTGGAACGCGCGGGAGATGATGAAGACTGGCTGAAAATGAAATTGACGGGGGAAGTATGATAACATGCCCCCTTCAACGTGCAGATTTTAAGGTTTGGGTGTCATCTCCGCCGTCTCCACGACACTCGCAGGCCATGTGGTGAACGCAGGAATTGCTGTCGTTGTAGCGTGTATAGGAAAATGAGGGCGCGAAGGGGAGAAATGACAACAAGCAAAACCTACGAGGACAAAGGAGAATATCGAAGGTCATGTTCCCTTCGACCTGAATATGTTCGAGCTTAATGGACGTCTGCGCCGTCTTCGCGACGCTCATAGGCCATGTGGTGCACGCGGGCATTGCGGCGCTTGTAGGAAAAGGAACCAAATTGTATTCGGAACAAAAGACATCCTATAGTATTCGGCCTTGCTAAGAATCCTATTGTTTTCCGCAACGAGAGGAATCGCGTGGCATGCCGTCGCAGAACGAAGTCTATTGCATTCGGGTTCGAATTGAAACCCAATGCGTTCCGCCACAGAACGAAATCGATTGTATTCCGGTGCGAAGGAATAAATTTCGGCACAATAGCGATTCTAGTGCATTCGGCTTCAACACAAATCCGATGGTCTTGCGCAGCAAAAGGAATCCTACTGCATTCTGCCTTCCAAAGAACCCCATTGTAATCCTCTGCAATCGCGTTGTATGCCGCTACGAAAAGAATTATAATGTATTCCAAACGAAAAACCTAGTATGTGTACGCCGCAAGATGAATTCGATTGTACCCAGCCATCGCCTATTTTTAAGCATTCCACCACCAACATAATCCTATTGGCATTGATGCAGTCAGCTAGTGCGCAGGCGTCGTTAACACAGAACTCTACAAGAACAAACATCCCCAAACCCGCTCTCTTTCCAGGCCAGCATCTCGACAGTGTCTGTTCGCAAACATTGTCCAGCCAGAGTGCACAATCCATCCGCGTCACACTGAGACGCGGGAGGCCAGGACAAACAGAAGCGACCTCCAGCGACAGACGGAGCATCTCTTTACAGGGCTCAAGGGTGGGTGGGCAGGATTGAGCCCCAAAACCCACGGAAGCGATCTAACATCGACGGCCTGGACCCGTGACGGGATGAGGAGAGACATGCGCGCAAAGGATATCCTCAAACCCGCTCTCTTTCCAGGCCAGCATCTCGACAGTGTCTGTTCGCAAACATTGTCCAGCCAGAGTGCGCGATCCATCCGCGTCGCACTGAGACGCGGGAGGCCAGGACAAATAGAAGCGACCTCGAAACATCTCTCCGAATATCTAACTGGCCACTAGGCCGCTAATCGCACCAAGGCTTGGTGCGTGGATGACATTCTAGCCTCGCGATAGGCTTTAGCAAGGGCACTGGACAGAGTGGGTGGGCATGGCTCGGCAATCTTTGTCCAGAAAGCTCCGGAGGGCGTCTTGCCTTCCAGCGCTCGGTGAGGACGGTGTGAGAACGAACAGAGGCCACGCCCTGTACACTTGCATTTGCTGATCGTGTCAAAATTCAGATGAACATATATCACCCGAGTCCTTTACCTCCAGGCGGTGCCGAAGGCGCAGAAATCAAAATCTACAGTCTTAACTCTGGTTGACGCGCTGCATGCTGGGCCCAGCGAGTCAGCCAGACCCACGAAGTGGACGGGTTCTCGATTGCTGAGGGGACTCCACGCCTGGCGCACTCTAAGAAGAGGCTGAATGAGAACTGCGACAGCCGGTTACCCGTCTCGACCTTGAGAGAGTCACTCGACGACAGGTTGGGCAGGGCCAGCACGTGGGGGGCGTCCCGCAGGGCAGGTGGCCCGCTCGGCCGGTTCCGTGCCCGTGACCGTGAGCTGCAGGGCATCCCAAGCCAGACGCCCTGCAGCAGGCCACCACGGAGCCACCCGCGCACTGTGCGCTGGGCTCGCCGACGGCTGAGGTCACCGAGGACCGGCTCGTGGTCCACGTCCAGCTCGAAGACCCGCGGCGCCAGGCGAGATGCCAGGCTTCGCCGCAACGCCCGGGACCAGTTCCCAGAGCCACTGAAGATCTCCAGGTACACCTTCGAGTCGGGCCGGTGGGCCCAGGAGCTCAGGTTCTGCATAGGGTGCCTCCCATAGTCAAGGCGCAACCGAGGGCCTGAGACTGGAGAACGGGTCGCAGAGGTTGAAGCTGCTCTTGAACTCGACCACCTTTCGCGTATCGCTTGAGGCTCCTGTCGGCCTCCCAGCGCCCGCGCTTCTTGATGTCGCCGAACTCCCTGGCGTTCGTCAGCATTTCGTGGCTGGCCCCCCCGTGGCGCAGTTGGAAGAGCACCGGGGGGCCAAGGGCGTCCAGCCCGAGGGCGACGCCCGCCTGCTGGAACGCCCGCACCCACGACCTCATGTCCAGGGGGAACAGGGGCGCGTCGATAGCACGTCCCTCCACGAGGCGATCCAGCATCTGGTCGACCCAGCTGAAATCCGGGTTGTCCAACAAGATGCTGATGTCGTAGTCCTTGGTCTTCGACCTCGCCTCGAGCTCCGCCGGGAACAGCAGGATCGAGTACTTGCTCAGGTGCCGCGGACCCGCCCTGACCGGCCGCGCGACGGACTTGACCCGCAGCGACAGCGTCTCCGACGGCCGCAAGTAGAGGACGAAGGTCAGCGCGGTCGCTCGGGCGGCGGCCAAGAAGCCGTTCGCCGCCATCCAGTCGGCCACTAGGGCCACGACCGGCCACGGCAGGGGCAGGCGGGCGCGGGGAGGCGCCAGAATCTTCCAGCCCTTCAGCGCCCGCAACACCCTCGGCAAGTTGGCAAGCTTCGGCGCCAGGTCCAGCCGGAAGTGCGCCACCGCCGCCGCCACCTTCGGCCCGTCCGGTGAGTCGTGCCCGTCGAAGTACTGCTGGTTCAAGTACTGCAGGAGCGCCTCCTCCAAGTCCGTGACGGTCGCCACCGACAGGCCCGCGTTCGCCGCCCAAGTCAGGAAATCTTGGTATCGGGCCTGGTAGTCCACAGCGGTCCTGTCCCCAACGGCCTTCAGCTCGAGGAGCGAACGTTGGTTCCGACCCCGCCAGCTCACTCCCTGGGGATGTCTCGCCCGCCGGCGGCTTGCCCGCCCTGGGCGGTCCAGCGGCTCGGCGGCCAGCTCCCCGGGCCTCGCTGAACTCGCGGCTGCCGTCGAGGAGGCTCGCCCAGTCGGGGGGCCAGCGCGCCTCCTCTTCGAGGCCGGGCGGGGGCCCGATGTCGGGCCAGCTCTCGCCGGCAGGCCCTCCGTGATCGCTCCCAGGACTGGGGCGGCCAGCGGCAGCGCCGAGGCAGCAGGGATCTGCCGCCGCTGCAGCATAGCCCACGCCCGGCAAGCTCCTGGATGCACGATCGGCCGAGTTCCTCTCTGAGGGGACCCAGTTCCAGAAGAAAGCCGCGCCGCTAGCCAGCGAAAGGGCCGTCAGCTGCCGGCGCACGCGGCCCATCTCCCGTCGCGATGGGCGTCCCTTGGTGGCGGCCAGGATGGCCCCCAAACAGTCGCCCAAGCAGAGATGGCAGCGGTTGAATGATGAGATGCGTCGAAGGACATGGCGGGCGGCCACGACCATGCCACGGGCCTCCAAGACAACCTGATGCTCTGAGCGACTCCAGCGACGGGACACCACCGGGATCCAGCCACTCGCCCAGACGTCGTATGGGATTTCGGGGACCTCCTCATCCTCCTCGATGTCATTGAACCTCTCCTCCTCCACGTGCACCCCCTCCACCACGGACTCCTTGACGGGCTCTTCTATGGGCGCCTCCAGGGGCTCCTTGATCGGGGCCTTCGGGTTCTCGGAGCAGTCGAGGCTGATGACCGACTCTGGGATGAAGGGGCTGGCGGAGGTCGCCGACTTGAAGGCGTGGGACCTATGCGACACCTCGGACTCCTGATGAGGGCTGAATCTCCATCTCTCATTGTACTTGGAGAGCTCAAGAGCCACCTGAGCTGACAACCTTTTCTGAGTGACACCTACTCCCCACCGCGATGAGTCCACCATCGTGCGCGTGCTGTCGAACGCGGCACCAGCGTCTCGAGAACAGAACGCGACAAGACTGGCGCACCAGCGGAGCTCGCGGAGGCAGGAGGGCCACAGCCGCGCCGTGCGGCCTCCATGCTGGGCAGAAAAAAGCGTACAGCGAATTGAGGGCAGACAGAAGCTCGCGGCGAATCAGACCTCGCGGGGTGAAATGGGACACCACGCGCAAGATCGTCTTGCCCGAGGCATGCCCCTCCGGCACAGTTCCAAGAAAGCCAGCCTCAGCTTCCACCGCAGCGCGGGGTTCAGCCCGATGATCGGGAACTTCTCGTCGAACTGCCACCCCAACGCCACGGCTCCCAAACTGCACTCGACTCAGTGGGTAGGGAGGCCCGCCGCGCGAAGGTTCGAGTCCACGGCCGAGGCGGCGGCGGCGGCGGCCGTCTCCAAGATGGTCGAGAGGCTGATCGCATTATCCACGTACTCGGTGTGAATCACCCCCTCGGACGCCTGCGGCACCGGCCGACGGTCCAGGAAGCGGTTCGCGAGGGGCAGCTGGGGTCCCTTCAGGGCCATCCCCTCCAGCGTTGTCTGGCAAGTCCACTGGCTGAAGGAGCAGCCCATCGGAAGGCACCTGAAACACGGGTACACCAGGTCGGTCCCAGCCAGGGGCCGCCCGTCTGTGGTGCCCTCGAGGCCCAGCAACCCCGCGCGGCAGCCAGGCAGCGCGAAGTACTTCCTGAACTCCGGCGGCAGCATCATCGTGTAGAACGCATCTGCCAGGTCGACCTCCGCCACCGCGATGGGCTTGCCCCCGTCCAAGTGGAGGCCGGCGAAGGTCGCCCCCGACGCGAGAGCGACCTTGTCGGGGACCTGGAAGTGCAGGGGCGCGTGCCTGCCGTCCAGGATGAGCCGCAGCTTAACCGACTTCTTGTGAACAAAAAAACACCTACGTTGCAACACTTGTCGCTGTAAAAATCGAAAGATTCCGACGCTCGAGGGCCCGCAGCAGCTGGACATGCAGCTTGGGGTCCCTCAGCGCCGGGTCGGTGTAGAGCTTCCGGGGGCCCTCGGACTCGATCCGAGCTCGACCCTCAGACTGGGGCAACATCATCTCATGAAACCGCTCGACTATCCTGCGGCCAGCACCCCCGCCCAGCGTGTCAAGCGGCACTGGCTTGAAGCCCTCGTCCGAGAGAGAGAGGCTGTTTATATTATCAAAGTCGAGCGGAGCGACGGTGGCGCTCTCGCCAGCATAGTCGCTGAGAACTCGGGGCTCCTCAAGGGCTCCTGAGCCAGTCAACCCCTCCGGGGGGGCATCGAACCGTCGGACTGCGTTGCGCGCATTGTCCAAGGCCCGCTGCTGGCCCGCAGTGATGGGCTGAGGATGGCCGACGGGGGGCGAGGGCTGGCCAAGGTACAGCTCGTTGAGGGTCCGAATGATCTCGCCCTCTACCGAATCGGCGTGGCCCTTGCGGAGACCCCGGCGAGCCACCGAACGTGAACAAGCGATGCCATGCGCCTCCGAAGCTGCCCGACGCTGTTGACCGGGCACTGGCAGTGGAAATAGATCATGCTGACGCCCAACACGCATGCCCGATGAGTGCAAATCACCAGCGGGCGGCGGGCCACCGCCGCTGGGCCCCCCTTCTGAAGACGCGCGCACCGCCGGGGGGTAGCGGTGCGCGTGGCCGTGAACTCGTCATGATCGCAAGGCCCGCTGCTCCTCGCGGGCCTTGCGAACCTGCTTCAGCACCGGAGCATCTCTCTCCACCTCCTTCGCCACGTGCTCGAGGAGCAGAGCGCAGATCATGCTCTCCCCGTGGTCTCGGCTGAGACCCGTGAAGACGGCGCTCTCGTCGATGAACCCGAAGCTCAGCAGGCCATGGCGTCCGCCGCCTCGCCCACGGCCTCGGTTCTTCTTCTTGTCGTTCCCCTCGCCGCCTCCGTCTCCACCAGAGGACGCGCTGTGGTGAGGGTCACGATCCATGACGTACACGTACTCATACATCTGGCACTTCCTGAACATCTGCTCGGCCCCCGCTAGGTTCGGCAGGTCGAGGCCGTCCCAGCAAGCGAGGGTGTAGATGGCCCGCGTGCTCGCCTCGTAGTCGCCGACGCCGTAGTCCTCAGTCCGCCAGAACCTGAAATGGTCGAGCGGCCCGCCCTGGCGTCGGTCTATGAACTTGCAGCGCCAGAAGCAAGTGCGGGGGCCAGGGATGTACCAGTCCACGAACGACTCCTCGGTGAAGCTGGCCACCGCATCGCGCCACTGCCTCAGGAGCCTGCCGCCTGGAACCGCTGGGTTCGCGACGATGCTCATCAGCCTGGCGTCTGACGCGGCCTCCCGTCCCGCGTAGGTCTGCGCGGGCTCCGAGATCGAGCGGATGGCTACCCGCGTCCCGTCCGCCTGAGGCATCAAGCCGACGGCCCCGCGGAGGTCCGAGCCGGCGGGCGGGGTCACCGCCGTCCCGCGCTTGCCCGCCGTGGTCGACTCTACCAGCGCCCACACCGCTGCCGCGGCAGCTGGGGCTGCGGCCCCCAGCTCAGCCGCGGCCGCGCCGCCTGGGGCCGCTCCGCCTGCGAGGGGAGCCGCCGCCAGGGCGCTAGCGGGCACCGCCGCTGGAGCGGCCAGCGCGGCGGCCACTGGGGGCGCGGCGGCGGCCGCGGCCGGGGCGGCGCCGGGCCAGGACCACCGTCCCCTGCAGGGCCGAAGGTCAGCGGCACGAGGAACGGCCCCCCCGGCGCGGGCAGCAGCAGGCGTTGGTGGTCGGCCACTAGGGCGGCGGTGCAGTAGTCCAGCGCGGTCTGGTCGATCTGCTGCATCTCCACCACCGTGAGGTTCCGCCTGAACCTGTACGAGTTGGCGGCACCAGCTCCAGCGGGGAAGGTGGCTCGATCGGATGTGAACCTCACCGCAATGATGTCCCGACCCTGGCATGAGTAGTCTTCCTCATAGATGTCGGTGTCCACCGCACAGATGAGCACCATCCACTCACTGACTCTCTCCAGTGGCGTCCGGACCCGTCGCCCGAAGATCAGGCGCTGGTGCCACAATGGCTCTCCTTCGTAGCGTACCCACGCCCACTGGAGCATCCCATGAGGCGCTGCTTCCGCTGGCCCCACGTTCTGCACGGCCAGCATTGCGCCGGCAGCACGTCAACCCAACTCGGTTCCACGACCAGAAGCCGTAGGCCAGCGCCAGGCCCAGCAGGAGGAGCTCGTTCACCAGCACCACGAACCAGAAGGAGGAGGGCTGCTGCCGCTCGCTGCTGCTCCCGCCGCCCACCGAGGGCGTAGCGGGAGCAGGGGAGCCCCCGGGGCACGCCGGGCAGCCTGGGCACGGCGGGCACACACAGCTCGGTATGGCGGGACAGGAGGGAACGTGGACGGACGGGCATCTCTGCAGGTTGCCGCCCCAGAAATAGGCGAGCGCTCCTTGCCAAGCGTACTGGGCGGCACGGAGCAGGTAATCCATACGCACTGCCTTGGTGCAAAGTCTTGAGCCCCAAAACCCACGGAAGCGATCTAACATCGACGGCCTGGACCCGTGACGGGATGAGGAGAGACATGCGCGCATAGGATATTAAGAAAAACCTGCGCAGGCACAGCTGGCACATTTTTTTTATGGACAATGTTGTTTTCGCCGCATGGCCAAACACAGTGGGCACAGATTTTGTAGAAATATTTTTCATCGATGGATATGATTCCAATTTCCCATAGGTGGAACATCCTAAAACCATATGTGCTAACTATGCCTGGCCATACGGAAACAACATTTTCATTCAAAATTATCTGTGCCAACTGTGCTTGCACATTTTTTTGTTTTGTTTCATTTTCCTTTAAAACATAATTGTATATAATAGTGTTTTACTGAAGAAATCTGTGCTAACTGTGCCTGCACAGGTTTTCTTAACGGTTGCCCTTCTGAACATGAGTTTCGCTTGTGCCTGCACAGATATGTACAGGATTTGGGCAATTTTTAAAGACGTTCCCATATATGGAACATCGTTAACACAACTGTGCTAACTGTGCCTGGCCATACGAAAATAATATTACCAGTCAAAAGCATCTGTGCTAACTGTGCCTGCGTTTTTTTTTTTTTTTTTTTTTTTTTGCTCTCTCCTGTTTTGTCATGGTATATATATATATATATATATATATATAGATGTATATATATATGTATATATGTACACAATGTTTTTATTGAGCAATTCTGTTCTAACTGTGATTGCACAGGTTTTCTTAACGGTTGCCCTTCTGAAAATGAATTTCGCTTGTGCCTGCGCAGATATGTATAGCATTTGGGCAAGTTTTAGCTCTGAACGAAAGAACGTTCACATATATGGGACATCCTGAGAAAACAACTGTGTTCATTGTGCCTGGTCATACGAACGCCAACTGTGCCTGCGCAGGCTGTTCTTAATTTTTTAATTGAAGAGTTTTGTGCTAACTGTGTCTGCGCATGGTTTCTGGATGCATATCTTACTTTCGATCGGATTCCTATTGTGGTAGAATACAAAAGGACCCCTTTTGTTTCCGAATATGAGAGCATCACCCCTGTGGCGGAACACAAGACAAGAATTTTTGTCATAATGCGAAACCGATTTCCGTTCTGGCGAATACGGCGGGTGATTTTGCAAATTAGACAGAAACCCATAGGGAAGGCGCCAAAAGAACCAGCAGGTTTTTTTTGGGGCCCTCTACGCATATATATAGACAGCATATTGTACACACCATACACAACACATATACACCATGTATGCACAACGTGTACTACACATATGAAGCAATGTACACAACGTGTACACACATATACACAAGCTATACGACACATGTGCAACACAACTAGGAAACATGTACACGTATATAAACATGTACAACACACGTAGGAACATGTGCACCACATATAGGTACAACCATGCGCATCGCAGATGCAATACATCCGCAAAACATACAGATCACATGTGCACCACATGCAGAACACATACAACACATACATATAACACATAAAGGAATCACCCACAACCCATCTACAACATACTGTTCAAGCCATACAGAACACATGTACCACACACATGCAATACATGTAATACACATAGGATTAATGTACGCACCATATACAAATACATACAACATATATGCAGCACGCGCACAACACACATAGACATAACCATTGGCAGCACACATAGAAACATATAATAACATATAAGAACAGGTAATACACATGTAATGTGAACATAGAAACATATGTAAGCATGCTCAATACATGTGCAACACACAACTAACACATTTACATGATACCAGAGACCAACGCCAATCAACGTATTTTTAGGGCTATAGGGCTGTGGAGCTATATGGCGATGGGACTGTAGGGCTACGGAACTATAGTGCCATAGGGCTACAAGTCTATCGGGCTATCGGGCTTTAGGGCCATAAGGCTACAGTGCTATGGGGCTCTGGGGCTATGAATGTATAGGGCTATGGGGCTATAGTGCTATAGGTCCATAGGGCTATGGGGCACCCGGAAGTAGGGCTATAGGGCTATAGGACAATCGGGCTATAGGGCTGTAGGGCTATAGGGCTAGAAGGCTATAGGGCAATGGGGCTATACGGCTCTAGGGCTCTAGGCCTTTATGGCTATAAGGCTGTAAGGCTATAGGGCAATAGGGTTGTAGGGCTATTTGGCTTTGGGGCTAGTGCGCTATGAGGCTATAGGGCTCTAAGGCTATAGGGCTATTCCCCATGCAAAGCTTGCCTCCGTCGAGGTCCTAGCGGATTCAAATGGTTAGGTGAAGTATGGCGCCGATTTCAGCGGCACGCCCGGGTGCCCGGGTGCCTCATAGCCCTGCAATCCTATAGCCCTATAACATTGTAACCATAAGTCCTATAGCCCTGTTGCCCCATAGCCTTAAAGCCTTGTAGCCCTATAACCATGTAGCACAATAGCCCCATTACCTTATAGCCCGATAGCCTTATTGCCCTAGAGCCTTACAGCCCTATAACCCTATAGCCCAGTCGCCCAGTAGCCTTATAGCCATGTGCCCATATAGCCTTATAAGAACGGACAAAAAACCTCAATCATGATACCGGAGACAAGCCCCGATCAGAATTTGTTTGGGGCTATAGGGCTATAAGGCTACTATAGGGCTACAGGGCGATAGGGATACAGGGCTATAAGGCTATAGGGCTACAGGGCACCGGGCACCCGGGCACCCACCCGGGCACAGGGCACCCGTCACCCGGGCACCCGGGCACCCGGGCACCTGGGCCCGGCCACCGCGAATCGGCGGCGCACCCGGGCACCCGGGCACCCGGGCACCCGGGCCCGGCCACCGAAATCGGCCGCACACCGGGCACCTGGGCACCCGGGCAGGCACCCCCGGGTACCCGGGCCCGGCCACCGAAATCGGCCGCACCTCTCACCTCAGCCTTTAATCCGCTAGGACCCCTACAGAGGCAAGCTCTGATTGGGGAATAACTAATTCTTTAAGAGCTATGGGGCCATAAGGCTATGGGACCATAGGGCTATAGGGCACCCGGGCACCTGGGCACCCGGGCGGGCCGCGGAAATCGGAGTAAGAATATATGAGCACCGATGGATCCAAGTGGATCCAAGTTCTGGTGCGCGACAACGTCGTGGATCCTATTTCTGTCTTGCGCGGATCCAAATTCCTGTGTGTGAAAAACTATGGATCCATCGATTTTCTGGGAACACATATATTATGATGATTCACATTCCGGACCCAGGGGAAATGGAATCCGCGGGGCACCGCACGTCAAGCATCATGCTATCCACGGAAATGTGGACCTGCTGACCAAAGCTCTGATTCTACGGGGGAAAGGGGGTCTTCCTAGGACGGAGAGGGGAAGAAAAAAGGAAGAGACACGAAACCTAAGAGACCGCTACATGTATCCGCTCGCGTGAGCGGCATGTCGCTTCCGACATTTGGGGCTCAAGAGGATTTTTGTTCGGCATGCGTCACTACAAACAGAGGCAACGCATGTAGAAATCACACAAACCATACCGAATACATATAGCGAAACATAGGACGTACATATAATACACTCATAACACACATATATATATATATGTGTATATATATATATATATATATACAACACATGGACAACACATATACAACACAAATTACAATCATACCGGTAACGTTCATAAATCATGGATGACCTATGAAGAAAATATGTCCGCCACATATAGACCGCACATACACAACATGAGCGGAAATACTTACAACAATTGTAGACTACATTTAAAACACTCTTCCGCATATAGCGCAAAGAAAAGGCACACACCTACAACACACACGCACGCATATATATATATACACATACATATGTATATATACATATATGTATATATGTATATATACATACATACATGCCACATAAAACACTATACCCAACATACACCAACCACGTTTAACACATTTACGGTACATCATAGAAGCACATACGCAACATATACATACCGTCCAACACCGTATACAGCACGTAGACCGTACATATACAGGAAATATACCCAACACGTACATACCACATACACAATACATGCAACCATGCAACACAGTTACTCTGTACATAACATCTGCAACCCACATGCAAGGCATCTGCACAACATATACACCGCATACGAATCACTCACACAAAACGTATGCAAACCAAAAACATGCAGAACACATGCAACACAACAAAACGTGGACACACACACCATCTACAGCACATGGTCAACACACGTACAATCTATGCGCACACCATGTACAAGCGACACATAAAACATGTACACGCCATATACAAAACATGGCCAACATCTATACACCACTCAAACAAAACAGTTGCAACACACATGCAAACTATACGCACATACGAACCTTATACACAACACACACGACCCATACACACCGCGTATGCAGCACAACAGCAATAACATGTAAACCATATGCAACACATGTAGCGGAACTATCGCAAACATCTACACAATACATTGACAAACCATATAAGTCGCCGCTGCACCTAATTCAACATGTCTACGACCGATAGCAAACACATATGCGAAACATGTACACAATATTTGCAACACGTCTGCACAACACATGCAAACCACGTGCAAC